CCATGTGATAATATTCTCCATGCACACCTCTGGTTATACTCAGTATCATAACAGAAATCCCCGGATTCGGCTTGAACACTTCGTCAAGTTATCTCTAAGCTTGTTTCAAAAAAACCGCCGACCAATATCCGTCTCTTTGTGCGGTCAACCAGAATTCGGCCAGCGGATAACCGTCTTTGCCTCCGGGTTTGCCCCCGATCTCACAGCTTCCATAATATTAACGCTTTCACACGCCGGGCACGATGTAATCTCTACGCCTCGGACTCTCACAATTGAATGTGTGTGATACCAATAAAATGCCTAAATTGTGCCTACCCTTACGAGGCCTCTTTTCTTGGCTATCCTGCCCGGTCTTTTCGTGCTTATGTGGTCTTTACTCGACCAGATAAGGAGAAGATACGTCTAATACACCAGGAGGAAAAAAGGCTAGATTACCCTAAATCCTCCCTACCCATCTAATGACCCCCTCATTTGGAGTTCATCCTCAAAACTCTCACGAGCTTTCACCCCAGCTCCAGTTCTTTCAGTGAGTTCAGCATCTAGGTTTACTCCCCTGGGCAACTTTGATTAATCACTTTGAGGAACTGAAATCCAGGTCGAGAAAAGCAGAAAATTACAGTCCTCTACTCCTTACACTCAGAATCAGTGAAAGAGGCCATCCTCCCGAAAATGCTCTGGCTGCTTTAAAATGGGACGGACTAACAATGTGTCAAGTAGATTACCCTAAATTTAAATGTTGTATCATGATGTTATTGTCGAGTAGTTTACAAGCAAGTAAACGGGGCTGATGCATTAAGGGCAATAACTCAGTCATGCAAATGTTACAACTAGCGACTAGACGGATGGCCAATTTCCTTCGCACGACTCCCTTATTGTTTCATTCCTTCTATTGCCCATGATAATGTAACAGCCGATTTTAGAGCCATGTATGGAACGGAGATTTGAGTAGTTCGCATGGATAATTTAATAGTCAGTCTATATTTGGAATTAGTAGAATACTCAAGATGTATATAGTACCTAGATAGATTCCTCATGATGGAGGACAATCAATTCAATCAACTCTGAGAGAGATTCACATTAGTATAGCTTTCCCTAACATTATTAATGGACCCAATTTAGCTAAATGTGATCCATACACCCGATAAATTTTAGATATTTCCTAATTTCTAACACAGTTCCTATAGAACTACCAGACTCTCTGGCGCGCCCTACAGCACCCAGAAACTACAATAAGTCAGACCAGCTGTCTATCACTTCTTTTGTAATGCAGGATTTTGCTTGGAAGTTTTCTTTTGTTTTGTTTTCAACTCTGGGCTGCTGTACTCGTCATGCTTCAACACATAGATGCGTTCCGGCTTGGTTCCGGTCATTGAGGTGGGACGAGGCACTTGTACTTTACGGTAGTTAACCTGATCCGGCCCGACCCCACTCGTGCTCAAGCTCCAGTAGGAGTGCGACGGTAGTTACTTCACCTAGCACGTTAATGAACAAACAAACAATTTTTTTGAAATTCGAATTTTCGAAAATTCATTTTTTTCCCTCTTTCCTCCCTTCTCGACCTCGTCGCATCCATCTCTGAATTGTGATCGAGCTCAGGCATTTTCACCATGCCTCCAGTTCGCAAAAAGCGTCCCAACGCCAAGTTGGACAACACGAGAGTCTACCCGAGGGCTCTCGAACAATTACCTGGCCTTGTCCAGTCTCCGAAATGCGCGGAGATGAGGAAGGTCTCCATCAAAGGGAAAGAAAAAGCCCTCCCTGCCGTCGCTGAACCCGATACTGACATGATCGGGTCAGTTGAAATTGTTGAGGAAATTCCTCAACCACCCTCCGTCCCTCACGGGACTGGAGAATCGTCAAAATCTCCTCCGACAGCGTCAAAACCGTCGGAAAACGCTGCAGATAAAGCAGCGCCAAAATCAACGTCGCAGCCAAAAGCTGCCACAAAAGCAGAGTGTCCCCTAGAGCTTCGACCAATTGTCGAAGCTGAACAACGACGCGCCGCCGTAACAGCGGCAAATCTGGCCCTCTGTTCCGCCGCCATCTCTGGCGTCGAAGCCACCCTCCTCCCTTTGACCAACGGGTCAAATAGACAATTCGTAGACTCGATGAGAGTCTACTTACGCGCCGCCATTGCGCAATACATGGCCACGGGCCCGTCCATCACGCCACCCGTCCTCCCTCCTCGCCCTGCGAACCCGACCCCAAGGGCTCCAGAAGCCAGGAGCAATACAACTCCCGCCGTTCCAGTTCTGCCTGTAAAAAGCACCTGGGCCACGGTGGCCAAAAATGGACTGCGACAGAATGCAGCTCCTACAGCAAAGGCTGTGCCGCGACCTGCGGCGAGAGCCCAAAAGAAAGAAGCTCCCAAGGCGAAAGTCGATAAGCGACTGTTCCTTCGCCTGGAAAAGGAGCACCCATGGCGGAATCTTTCAAACAACATTGTGAAAAGTAAGGTAGCGGACACGCTTAATCTCTCTTACAATGATATAACCTCGATTCATCGAGTAAAGACCGGCTTTGCTATTATAGCAAAGAACGAAAAAATACGACAAGAGATCCTAGATGTCTCTCCGAAGCTGGCAAGTGAAAACGCCAAACTCGAGGCATCTTCGAATCTTGTCGCCTTACAGATACCGAACGTACCTGTAAGTATCGTTTCACAGTACGGCCCCGTAGCGACCGATGCTGCAAGTGTCACCGCTGAGATCTTCCTTACGACCAGCGCGTATCCAATCCAGGTCCGACCTCATGGGACATGTCGGCCTGGATCGCCTTATCGAAACTGGCATGCCCTTTTTCACCGGGACGAAGCCCCTCGTGCGGGCTTCCGCCTTTTCGACGATTCGGGTATGGCTAGCATCCATAAGCCTCGTCGATCAATTGAACAGTGCAAACGCTGTTTGGGCTTCCACGCCACTCGTGGTTGCTCCCACGCTCCAGCTTGCTGGAACTGCGGATCAAATATGCACTCCGAAACAGAGTGCAAGGCCCTTACACGCTGTCGCAACTGTGGGGGACCTCACCGATCGGATTCTCGGGCCTGCCAAGTCAGACCAAAAAAATCCGGACCGGTGACCAAAGAGCAGCTCGCGTGGATTCGCCACATCGAACAAGGGGAGTTCGCGAAGGTGGCACGAGCCAGGGCTGCAGCAAAAAAGGCCGAAGAGGCGATCATCGCCACGGCGAAGGATGTCTCGATGGCCGAGGCAACAGGTTTCGGAGCTCTGGGATCTGAAGAAGTTTGAGGACACAGCAACCTCGACGATGTCCCCTTTTGGGGCATCTACTAACCAACAGCAGGATACCGGCTGGATCAAAGGTGCCTGCTAACTCATCTCTTGCTCTCAGCGGAGATTGAATAAATTTTGTCATTTGGAAGGTGTGACGGACGAGGGAATGTGTGAGGAGCGCATTTACTGAGTCCAATATGGAGGAATCTTCTGGTATTTGGAGTTGTTTTGATTTTTGTGACTTTTCGTTCTTGTTCAATCAGCTGCACTTTTGGTAGCGATTCACGAGGTTGGAACGAGTTAGGCTGTAGGAAAAGTTACAGGGAATCCTGCCGGATCCACCGGTCCTTGACCCAATGTGGAAAACATAGCTTTAGCTTAGGACCGAATGTATAAAAAAAAAAAAAAATAAAAAAAAATAAACAAACAGCTGTCTATCAATCTGATTTTCGATTTATATTTAGCAAATCTCCCTCTATCGGGAAATTTACATATATATCTACGAGTTGCCAACGATTTTCCCCACAAAATGCATGTTTAATAAGGAAATTTCAAAAAATGTCACACATTACAGGAGAAAAATAAAAATTCCCGTCTAACAGTAGTTCCTCAAGAAAATGATTAGGTTGATTTATTAAATCCTGTTGTAAACATCATTATGTTAAGCAAAGTTATACTAATGTGAATCTCTCTCAGAGTTGATTGAATTGATTGTCCTCCATCATGAGGAATCTATCTAGGTACTATATACATCTTGAGTATTCTACTAATTCCAAATATAGACTGACTATTAAATTATCCATGCGAACTACTCAAATCTCCGTTCCATACATGGCTCTAAAATCGGCTGTTACATTATCATGGGCAATAGAAGGAATGAAACAATAAGGGAGTCGTGCGAAGGAAATTGGCCATCCGTCTAGTCGCTAGTTGTAACATTTGCATGACTGAGTTATTGCCCTTAATGCATCAGCCCCGTTTACTTGCTTGTAAACTACTCGACAATAACATCACGATACAACATTTAAATTTAGGGTAATCTGTTTGACAAATAAAGTACTCTTCGTTTGTTAATTATTTTACGTCCGGCAGGTGCCGAGCCGAGGCTCAGGGCCCTGCTACCTACTACGCTAGCTGGAGGAATGGACGCCAGTGCTTACTGCACTGTGGGCTTTGAACCTGCACCCACCTACTTCGGGGTACAGAGCCTTATGAAACTACGCGCGCCACCTGATTTAACTCCCACGCTCCATGTTATAGGTTGGTGTGAATGGACTGATCACATTAGCTATTCGCAAAAAAATGTGTCATAATTTGAAGTATATTCTGTATAAAGAAGTACTTCGAAGACTACATGCTTATCCACTCAATACGCATGTCGCGTGTGGATTTATACATGAGTCATCCTTTACAGAGCTCCATAATCCAGTCAAGTCATGTATCCTAAGACTTCTCGATATATGAACCGGATAAACTCCGGTTATAACTAAGTGAGGCACTAGACTATAACAGTTGGCTATAATACAATGTTACCTTCATGAGCCGGATACTCATTCTGAGCTAAGCTTTTTTACAAATGAGCGGTATACAAGAGCACCTGGATATACTAGGTGGTAATTTTTGAATTTCTGTGTCGAGTTTTCAAGGTCAAATACTAGTGTAGAACGCTGATAGACCAAGCCATTTGACGAAACTGAGCGCCCCCTCTCAGGTGCCTAGTAGGTGCTTCTCCACGTCGCTGCTGGGTAGCGGAGGTCGAGGGAGCTTTTAAGGGGGAATGGTACATTCTAGGAAGCGTGTGGAGGACTTAGGCTCGCTGCAGCTGCAATGGATGTGAGCTTTTCTGTGGTTGAGCCGATGGTGATAAGCTGCGAAATCGCCATGCCCAGAGCGAGCCGCGCATAGTCTCGATAGTAGCAGCCTTGTAAGTGTCAGCTTCTTAGGGGTTCGTGTGTAGGAATCAATTCCGAGTCGTTTATAGAACTCTGGGGCATTTTCGCTCCACCAACTCTTCGTTGCGGAAGTTATAGTTTCCTTGAGTAAGATCTTCGCAGCTTCATAGAACAGATGAGCAAAGGGCCTTGGTGAGGAACTGCAAAGCTCCTCACGTGCGGCGGCATCAGCCATGGTATTTCCGTGGATTCCAGAGTGGCTCGGGTTCCAAAATACTGGAACCTTTCCTGGTGAGACGTGAGGAAGCCGAGTCCGGTGGAGCCAGTTACAAGCGAGAGAATTTATTTTTAGAAATAAGTCTTGCAATGAGTTCTCCAGGGATTCTGGGAGTAGCCGGACGATACCTAGATTGTCTATCAGAATCCAAAGGCTTTTGGAGAATCATGCTTTCGGTAGCGTGAGCGCAGTCTGAGGCTCTTCTTTCACGACTGCCACCTCTGTATCGAAGGGTTGCAGCGACGAATCTGGTACCAGGGTTTGGCGGTGAATCATCTGGCCAGCTTGGTAGATAATAATGCCGCCTTCTATCTTGGGCTGGATGGCTATCTCGGAGCGAGCGCCGTCAGTTTATGCTATCAGATCACCAAAGGGTATATCTGCGGAGATATTTATGGGGGGGCAGGAGACTCTCCTGATGCTACTGTGCCACGACTCTCTCCTAAAACATGTCACGGATCGGAGGACAGGTGCTGGAGCAACTATGTGGTTGATGGTAGTAGATAATAATTCTAAGAAGACAACTACTACAGGATCTATCTACACATTTATATATACAAAATAGTCTCATGTTCTACAACGTCATTGCACTATCAATTGAGGAGGTTCTGACCGATCTCGTATATTCCCAGCCGATAGCTTCTCACCGACAAGTGCTGCCATGTCGAGCTGCACTGTTGAATCGGATGCTATGCAGATTCCGATGCTCAGATATTAGATCGATCGATCGTGCGCACCCTAAATCGGACCAGGCCTATGTTAGCCAACAAAGGCTACAGGAACCAGCCGGCTTACCAGCCGTCACAAACCAGAGCAATTATAAAAGTGGATCGAGCGATCCTATTTTAGGACCTAGTAGTATCCATCCTGCAAGTCTGGAGACGCGTCGGTCCTGCGCATAGATCCGAATAGCTCGCTGTCGGAGAGGGTGCCGAGGGTCCAGCCGGTGGATCCGTAGAGCCGAGTTTTTAGATCAGAGGTTGAGTTCTAGATCTTGGGGGAGCAGGCCTTATTCACGAAAGAGGATGGGCACTGGCGTAGTTCGATAGACGGGACGGATAGCTCTGGCCCCTGCCGGGACCACTTTGTGGAGAAGGGCTACATGTCCTTCAACCCGGTTAAAAATTTCCTGGTAGTATCTATAGTAGCCTGGCCACCAAGTCTCCGCCCCATAGTAGACGATGTGTAGAACATATACTATAATAACTTGGCGAATCAGTTTCGAGGAGACACCTCGAATATTTTTTTTTTTTTTTGCATCAGATTTTAATTGCGTATGCAGCTATCTAGCTATGACACAATATCAAAGAAAAGTACAGAATAGATGATTCATCGTTAAGGAAAGGCACTCATGCCTCAGATTTCATTTGCAAGTACCACTGCGAAGTTATGGTAGCTTTTTCTTCACCCCAAGTCAACCCTCATCCGTGAATACCCACCCAGGGGAACGTCTCAAAAACCCTGAGTTATCCAGACATGCCTCCATCATCCATCAAGTTTTCTCCGCGCGAAATATGGTCTGAGGTATCTCCTTCCCAAGTGGAGTAGGTGCCCAGGCTACTCAAACTATACCGGAGAACACCACAGGAGGCGGACCACAACACCTTCCATCGTTTGCTTGTTTTTATAGTGTCAGCTGCACTCTCGCAAGCGAAGTCTTGGCGCGCAAAAAGCCCAATTCGAAAAACTCCTTGCCAAAATTCGGAATCTCATGCCCTTCGAGGTTATATCCGTCCTTCGCATCATCTTGTCAACTTGTCCAGATCTCTCTCACATCCATCCCAAAGAACTGTCTCCCAGATTTGTGCGCCACGCTTTCCTTCCTCCGTCGGGTATAAATATCGGCGTGGGCGTGTATTTGGTGACCAGCTGAGGCCAGAGAAGGTCGAAGAGTGGTGTGGTCATTGGAATGAGCATGTACTTGGTCGTACTTGTAGACTCGATGAGACGAAGATAGGAGTCAAACTCGTTGGGAGCGAAATAACGACGTGGATGAGTAATTTGGGTTTTTGCCTCGTGGGCCAACTTCTTTGATATTGCGAAATTTGACTGAACTTGGCTCTGGGAGAATATTTCACTCCCAGGTTCGTAGAGGACACCGCGTACAGGTGTTCAGTCTTGCCCTCCGACACCTCGAATAGTGTTGCTGATGAAGTGGAGTGCGTTGGCTACCTTGATTGCTTTTCTAGCAAGTACGCATGCGTGCAATTTGAAGGAGATCGTCTAATTGAAGTGGACCCCGAGCTAGTAGGTGTAGGGCTTGGAAATATTTTCTGAAACTACCATGTACCTGCATGAGACTGATGGTGTTGTTGCAGGATCCCGGTCATTTCTTCGTCGGGAGAAGTGTTACAGTTCTGACTTTGCCGGGTCGAATGTGATCCCTTCGCTTCCACCCCAATCTGAGGATTCCTCGAGCCAGTGGGAAATTGAAACGCAATTAGAATGGAGGTTAGGCCCCGTCTTGAGAAAAGGAATTTCATCTGTGAAGCCAAACCTCTTTCTCTTCACCCCCACCTTGAGAAGTGGCGAGATTTAAGGCATGCGCAGCACAGGAGAAGCTTTTGAGCCCTTTGAGAGTCCACATTCTACTGCATTTAGAGGACTGGCCCCTCCGTCTAAGTGTATGCGGACAGAGCGGCCTGTGGTGAAAGAGCCGGCCCAGTGCACTAGATTTTCAGGCCAACCTTGCTCACGTAAGCGGCGAACTAACCGGCCAAGGTAGACAGTATCAAATGCACCCTCACGTCTAAGGTAAGCATGGTAGCTGTGAGGCTCTCGTGAAACGATTTCTCTATATCGTATGTGAGGCACGTGGTGAGGTCTACTGCCGAGCGTCCAGGGAGAGCGCCAAATTGTTTTCTTGCGATAAATTTGTGTCGCACAGCTATCCACGACATGCGTCGGGATATCAGCCGTTCTAGACCTTTACCAAGTACAGAGAGAAGTGTGATCGGACGATAAGAGCGGGGTGATGCGAGGTCTATCTTGTTCGGCTATTGAATCATTACCAAAATCTGTTGCCCAAGGCACGCAAGATGATGTCCAGTGAGGAAGCATGCAGTAAACAGAGATAGGACTAGCTGTTTAATGAGCGGCCATGCACATCGGAGAATGATATTAGGTAACTCATTAGCTCCCAGGGCAGTGTTGCCAGTGCGGAGAATGGTACCGCGGACTTCATCGCTTGAGGGAGGTGCGAAGCGATGCCGCAAGAAACCTGCTGTAGAATACTCCCCATAACGAATACCAGGTCAAGGACATTTACTCTGTTATACATGTTTTTGTCAACTGGTAAGAGAAGTGTGGGAGGTACTGAATCTAGCCAATCTACGAGCTACTCAGCTCCCAGTGTCACGAAATGGAGTCGTGATTGATCAATCAAACGAAGTTATCGAAGTCTATTCTGATTCTCTAAAATGATAATAACAAAAGTACTAAACACGACGCGGTCGCGAAGGATTTGTGATACATGGATATTTTACAAAGGGGGACTTAGCATCTCCTAAGATCAACATGAAATGTTGAACCCCTAAGTACTGTGTAGGGAATTCACACCCTTGGGCCCGTAACATCACTTCCCTCCGCGGTGAAGGTGTGCATACAATTAAAATTATATTGTTATTTTTTTGTTTTGTAGAGATGGCTTCTTTTTATCTCTAGAACCAGTGTAACTGCCTGTGTTGGGATCTCCAACGTTATCTCCGTCACCGTATTGCTCGATGAAGCTTTTAAAAGCGTCAGTGAGGGCAAGATTTTCTCGAGGTTCCCAGGAGGTTTCCTTGTAATCTTTATAAATGACGCAGACAAATCTTTTTTCTCGAAATGATTCAGCTCTAAAAACCTTTTCTACAGCATATAACGGGTGCTTTCCGTCAAGAAGAGGTGGAGGTTGACCATCATCAGTAACTTGGGAGGGTAGTGGATCATCACAGTCTCGACGGAGTAAGTCCACAAAGAATCTGGGGTGAATATTACTCGGCACATCTAGTTCTTAGACATCAGGGCCTATCTCCCGCGTTATTTTATATTTGGCATTTATCCAAGACAATTTTTTCTTGAGCTGCGAGGTGGTGACATTTCTCAAATTCAACCATACTTTATCTCCCACTTTTAGCTTTTCAGCCGGTCTTCGCCCCTTGTTAGCATTGTGCTCCATGATTTGCTGTGCTGTTGCCATTGCAGCTTTTGCAAGTTCTTGACCTTCGTGTAGACGATTTATGAAGGCATTAGCTCTTGCTTTTGGGTTTATACCTGAGCTAGATGGTGAGTAGCGTCGTTTTATAGGCTCGAGATGAAAACCGCGAGTCAAAAAAATGGACTGAAGCCGGTTCGTGAGCTGGTCCTATTATTTATGGCAACCATTGCGGACGGGAGTAGTGTTGCCCAGTCATTTTGGGCATAAGAGATGTAAGCTCTCAAGTAGGCTAGCACTTCTTGGTTCATTCTCTCGGTACTTCCATCTGTTTGAGGATGAAATGCTGTTGACAATCGTTGTTGGATACCTACACACTGACAAAGCTTTTTCCAGAAGTGACCGACCCAGCTAGAGCCTCTATCTGATGTTAGAGAGTTTGGAAAACCATGGTAACGCCAGTGGCTTAGAACGAATTTTTCCGCACAAGCCTCCGCTTCCATTGTTTCCATAGCCTCCAATGTAGCACTACCGAGAAGCCGATCGTATATGACCATCAGGAATCTTTCTTTTTTATTAGCTGACGGTAAATCGGTCATGAAGTCTATGGCCAATTCGCTGTGGAATCGTTCTGGTACTGGCAGTGGCCATAGCAAGCCCATGGATGACTGTAGCCAAACTTTAGATCTTCCGCAGGCGTGGCAATTTCTCACAAACCTTCGAACATCTTTATATTGCTGAGGCCAAAAAAAACTTCGTGAAAGTATGGAAAGTGTTATTTCCCATCCTGGATGACCTGTCATATGGGAATCATGTACTTTCTGGATTAAGGTAGTGCGAAGAGGTTCCCAATTTGGGATCCACAATGCTCCTCGATAAGCTAAAGCATGTTTCTCGTCAAAGGAACAGTCCGTCATTTGCACTGAGGTTCCAATAGAGTGCGGTAGTGCACGATCGCCTCTTTCGAGGCTTTTATAGATATCAAGAAAAGAAGGATCATTTTCTATTCCTTTGTTCCAGAGTTTTTGTATTTCAAGTTCTTCGAATAATTGGCCACCTTTTGGTGGACCGGTGGGGGAGATGGAGAGACTAGGCGATTGGTCGATAGGTTTGGATAGGGCTTCAAATTTTGGTGCTTCTG